TCTTACAGCAAAGACGGTCACATTCTGAAACTCGTTGTTTTCCATTTTTTTATTTCTCCTTGGTTTGTTACGAGTCCCCTGCCAACAAGGCAGGGCGGAATCCGTGATGTGCTCTAGCTGCGTTTCCTCAGAGGATTGTAACCATGATCACACTGGCACTTAGAGGAATGTATCCAGCCATTTTCACGGCCGAATCCGTGTTCCCGATATTTTTTTTCCTTCTTTTGCTTTCTGGAATCTGACAACCTCCTCTCCGTGGTGCTGGGATGCCCTAACTGAGGGCACACTGACACTACCACTTCCAAGAATGTTTACAACTTGCTGCAATCACGGAAGGCCAGAGCTTCGTTCCCTTTTTCTTGTTTTCTTGTTTTTTCTTGTTTTCTTGTTTTTTCTTGTTTTGTGAGTTTCACGGCTGCAAGTTTTCTTCTTCTTTTTTTTTTTGTGTGTGTTCTTCCCATGACAGTACCAAAAAGAAAATGGAGTGGGACCCAGGCTCGGCACAACTCGGAGCGCAGTGAAATTCAGGGTCGGTAAAAACAGGCTCGGAGGTACTAGTGGTTGGAAAACAAAAAAAAGAAGAAGATTCTTGAGGGACAGTGGACTGCCCAGAGTACGGCATGACAGCAGACACCAAAAGCCACTTTGTCATTTTTCTGTGTGTTTTGTTTTTTGTTTTGTTTTGTTTTGCAGCCTCAGGAGGCCTCTGCATGGCCGCTATCGCACCACCTGACAGCTCCCACGCATAATGGACCTGGTCAGCAATTGTGGCTGTGCCGCTGTGGAGCATGTGGTTCACAAAGCACTGAAAATTGAGCCGCCCCTCTTTCTCCATGCGTTCCTCACTCCCACTACTGTCTTCCCACGAATAAACCGCCCGATCATGATAGCCCAATCATGATAGCTGCACTTTGGGCAACTTTCAGTCCAGATGCAGCGACAATAAACCAGCCAGTGACGACAGTAGACCCGCTCATACAAACGGTTGCAAGACACATGAAGTTTTTAACGCTTCTATCAACCCAACACCGTTGACCCCTCATCGTTCAAATGACGATATCCTGAGCACTACCTTCTTCACATGAATACAACGTACGCTCATTATTGCCGTGTATTTAGACTGAAAGATACCCCCAATACAGCTATAATGATTGTACGCTATACTGAGGTGAAGAAGGTACCCCATGCAAGCGTTAGAGGCTGGCACACTCATCACGGTGCCATGATATTCATTATTGATACCCTCCTCTCAAACAGACGTATGGAGGGGAGCGGGGGAGAGGAGGGGGAAGGGAATATTGGAAGATCGTAATGAGGTCTTCCACACAGACATTTCTGAGTCTGACATAATCTCAATGTTGGGAACCAACGATCGACGTTTCGATTCTTTCATCCTCGGCCAAGCCGACTTGGTTCACACGTTTCATAGGCGGTCTACTGACCTGTGTAGCGTCGTGTTCAGGTTCGGTGACCGAACCCCAACGTTCGGGACCGAACGCGAACGAGCGCTGAAACTCTCCGAACGCGAACA